CAGGTTTATCGTCGCTTGACGATTTTCGATTGAAAGTGACTTTGTGGGGCCCTGGTCAGTACTGATCCAAGTAATTCCGATCGTCACCTATTGGTACCGGTTCAGCTGGACGTGCTGGTTCTTCTAAAGAAGTAAATTTTGTAGAAATCGACTGCCCTAAGATCGTTATAATCACTTGAATTTGTCATTCTACTTCGTCTATCCTTCGAGATTTCCTTGAGGATCCATTTCTTTCAAGTTCAATTTGTAAACAGAGTAATTGTGGATATAATAAACACTTTAAAAAAACTAAAAAGCATTAAAATATGCCTTTTGCTCGCATTTAAGACCCAATGATTTTATGGTTGCTTTTATATTGGAAGAACATTTTTATTGATCACGACATTAATATTCAATTGCTGATGAAGTTTATGATTGAATTACATAACAGTTTTATGGAGGGATTGAAAACTGCGTTAAATTAATTTATAAATCGTCGACTTTCTCGCTCGACTATAAAAGGTTTTTGAAACAGCGAAAGGCTGAATTACTAAACAGCAATGGTTTGCACTTTTAAATGCTGTATTTAAACTAAATGGATGATTCATTGTCAATATAAAACCATCATAAATTAGAGTGGATGCCAAATTGTTACAGAATTGTTGACAAACTCGTTGTTTCTGCACTATTCAAAATTACACATGGCAAAATTTAACGCGAGAATCAGGATCTCATTTTTTTTTTTTCTTATGCATATCTGTTTTAGGGTGACGAGACCACCATCATCGATAAGCTCGACCCCATCTTAATTCAATACATTCGAATGGTCAATTTTCCCTTTCGGGACAATTAAAATTACACGACGTGGTTGAAGAGCATCATCTTTGATATGATAGTCATTTTGTATATTTTGCTTGGTATTTAGTCTCAAAATGAAGGGGTAAGTCCTTTTTGAAAATGGCGAAGGTTTTGGGAATGCCGGATTTTTGGTATTAATGTTAGTCTATTAAACCCGTACCTTACTCTTAACTTTCAACTTTAACAGTCTTTCATACACGTTAGCCGCTTAAAAATAACCATTTTGGTATCAGCTTAACATCCCGAGCAGCAGTGATGTAATTTCACCCAAATGCGGCTCTAGCGTACGTATATTTTGCCTCCTCTGAGGATGTATGCATTGCAACTCATGCGAGCAAATCACCACGTTTACGGTGAGAGCACGACAATCCAAGTGTGAGAGAGTGCTTATTGAGAACTTCTGTGGTGAAAACTAAAATCACTCTCTCTAGAGAAATGAATTTAATGTGCTCTTGAGTTCAGTCACCTAAAAGCTATCGGGGGTTTACCTCTCGAGAGACTTCACTGCAGAGCCCACTTTCCAAAGCATATTTTGAGCGCTGTTGAAGCATTATTTTGGTACAATCATATTAAGCACAAAATGGACCTACTGATAGGACTAGGAGCTGTAATTGATAATAATTGAAATTTCTAAAAATTAAAGTAGCAATAGCAGGTTTATTTGAAAATGTTCTATCTGTCAAATTTATGTTAAAATTCACCAAATGGAACACAGCCTCACAGATTGAATTCAACATGTGTTTGATTTTGACGTTCTGGTTTTATGGAATTTTAGGTATTTCAAGCATAACTATTCAAGTCAACGTAACTGATTTTGTAAACAATCACTTCAATCGACGATTTGTGGTAACTACAAGCTCACTATCTAGTAGGCGAAAGTTTTCCCTACCTGATGATGGTTTTTGTTTGCGTGGGTGAGTTAGCAGTTAAGACAAATCTTCGATTGAAGAGATTGTTTACAGAAGCAGATGCGTCGATTTGAATAGTTACGCTTGATTTGCTTAGGCCGCTGCCATTCTGAGAATTCTTTTGTATAGAACGCTAAGCGCGCCTCTTCGCTCTCACTATGGCGGCGGCCTTAGAATACTATGCTGAATCTATGGTAAAATTAACAGACTGCTTAAATGTTCCATTTTGGTTTCAATCAGCGATTACATGTATTCTGATTTTTGTGCATGATAAAAGTTGGGATGGTTTTAAAGCTTTAAAGCTTTAGTTATCATGCAAATCAGGTAGATTAGATCATTTCCAAGTATGAATTATGAAGGCTAGTTTGATACCTTTTTAAGAAGTATAACAAGAAGATGAATTGAATTGGTAACTACTACAAATGAACAATATCAATTGAACCTTTGTAAATCATGAATTTTGTAATAGCGCATGAATTAAAACGATTGATAAAAACTCATTGTCGTACTTTAATGTTAAGAGAAGTAATCATTGTCAATAATCTCCAAACCTCAAATGAAATGTCCTCCTTTTCATGTTTTTGATATGGTAACCCTAGTCGTGCATGTCTGTTGTTAATTTGGTCTGAGCGTGTAATTGACAAATAAGAAAAACTGGCCGAATAAAGAAAAAGGGTAGATGTTGTCCAGCAAATTTTAAATAAGAAAAAAAAATGATAAATAGTGACGGTAATGAGCTTTTCTTATCTTGGTGTTCATTGTGTGATTAGGCTGGTAAACCATTTAAATGTGATTCTACGTTCAATTTGTCACGACATTTATTAATCAAGCATAAGCAAGAAGCGGAAGATAGTGGCATTAGTGCACCAGCTTGCAAGTGATAGGAGGAGATGCTCCAGTGCCTAATAAAATTACTTGTCATATCCATAAGGCTCATAGTTCTAGATACAGCGTCAATTTGCTGAAAAGGGCAGTTTTGGGAATTACCAAACATGTTTTAAATGGGGTGTAAATATGTTGTGCTCTTTAATTTTACCTATAGCATTTCATATGCACCATTCCAATTTCACTGCTTCGGAAACATGCAAGGAAGATTGTTGTATGATCAATTTAAGAGTTTTCATAAAATGAGAAATTTAAATAAAAGTTGACAAACACGTTAATTACGCCCAATAGCGATAGCAGCACGCAAAGCGTTTTTATAAATAAAAAAAATCCACTTGGGGTTGCGGCACGGTAAAATACACACAAGACACCCGTAATTCCATGCCAGAGCATAGATCCTTATTTATTATTACCTCTCCTTTGTCCTCAGCAGAAACTATAACTCTTTATTCCCATGGTGAAATTTCAGGTAACTGTAAATCTCCAAGAAAAGTCGGTGTCTTCCACACGAATAAAGCACAAGGATGACACGCATTGATCAAAGCTACCGGTATTAGCGATGACGAGTGTGTTGATTTTGTATACGGTTTTACGTGAGAAGGTGAAGGAGAGAAGAGTTTTTACTTTTTTTCACACAATAGTAAATAAGAAACACCGTTGAAGTAAAGATAGTATCCCGGCTCAAATACAGTCGTCAACGTTAATATCGAATGGAAAATTGGGAAATCATTCACAATTGCACTTGCTCTATATCCAGAGGACCAACCAGTTCTCCCACTCCAGTGTTCTCTGGAGTGAGCTTCTGTGAGATCACTGCAGAGTGTTCTTGAGCTCTTATGTCGCTCACTAGTTTCCACCAGTGTAGAGTGATCTAATCTCACCGCGCAGTTCATTCCAAAAACTACACACACAGTAAAGCTGGGTTTAGGCAGGACAAGTCAATTGATCAAGTCAGTTGAATTCAACTGACTTGAACGCGAATTGAACGTGTAAACCATGCCATTCAACTGACTTGATCAACTCACTTGAATTGAAAAAAGTTGAACCAGGCTCAACTTTTCAAACCAATTGAATTCAACTGAGTTGATCATTTGACTTGCTTAGTCTAAACCCAGCATAAGGGTGTAGTGAATAGTAGACTGCATGTAGTGCTCTTTCTAGAACGAACAGAGCGAGAAGATTAGAATGTTAGCTCTTGTCTCTCACAGAGGAGAATGACAAGTATGCCGAGCAGGAACGAATATCTCGATACCTTAAATTGGTATGGATGCCATGCTCAAAAAAAAAAAAAGGTTTCCACTATACCTTTCCAATGCCAAATTATGCAATTGCAATACCAAAACAATGCCACGCAGGCATTGTTTTGGTAAGAAAATATCAATTTTTGTTATTTACAAAGTATTTTGTATCCAATTTTGGTATTATTCTTCGGTATTTTACCCCTAATGTCATGCTGATCAATAGCAAATTTTGGTATCGGATCAAAATTAGGTATTCATTAGGTATTTTCTCCTGCTCGGGGTTCACCTTCCAATGCTTCTTAGGTTGTCGGTGGTTGAATGTAAGCTTGACTGCTTTCTCACCCCAGTGTATCTGGGTTAAATCTCAGCCGAGGTCGTTGGGATTATTCTGAGGAGATGAAATCTCTGGTCATGTCTTCGTTCAGAAGGCAAGTAAAGCCGTTGATCTCGGCTCACATGTTGGTAGGTTACCTGGAACTCAGTTTTCGTCTGTGATTAATCAACAATTGACAATCGGCGTAAATCAGTAATTGGCACTCGATTGCGGAATAGATACCGACGTTAAAATGCTTCGTATATGAATATCAAACATCGGATGATGTTCGTAGAATTGATCTTCACCTTGTTCGAAGAAAAATTCCATCGAGGAGGAAGTGATACATCAAAAGTCAATGAGCAAACAAGGAATGGCAAATATTTGTTCACGTTTGGCTTAGGACTAATTTTTATTCGTCAAAATAAAAAAAAAAAAGATATGGCAGTTGGTGTTCGTACAAAGTTCTCGCTGTAGTAGTTGTTGCTGTTGCGCTGTTGTAATAGCTTGGAATGCCGCGCTTTCAGCATGAAAGCAGCGACATTCGCAGGTAACTCAAATATGTTCAAAGCAGACATTTTCGTTTCCGAAAGAGAAAATCATTAACAAAATAATATTCTGTACAAAGAGATTAAACAAAAGAAAAATTAAACTGTACACTTTACAAGCATGGACTTAGAATTTTCAGAGTATTCTCAGTTATTGTTGTTGTTGTTGTAATTGTTTAGTGCCGTCCGAATTGTTGTTGGTGTGTGCGACTTCAGTGGCTGCTGATATTTGTTGGTTGTTGTTATTGTTTTTTTGTATTAGATAAGCTCAATCACTTAAGCCTTGGGCAGATGGGCGGCCTCTGGCTGGAAACCGTTCTCATCAGCGATATAGTTCACGGTGTAGACCTGACCATCATCAGCAGTGAAGCTGTATGATCCACGGACAACCAGAGCTTCAACATCATCAGCCAATTTCTTCAGTTCAGCCTGTTCCTGGCGGGACTGTCCATCGCTGGTTTCAAAACTGTAACGACGAATAAAAACATCAACGGTCAACGGTCATCCAATACTAAATCATAAGGTCATTAAAATAAAGCTTCAAGGAATTCCAACGCAAGCAACAGGTTAAACAAATATTTGAACCGAACAGGTTGCCAACCAAATTATGATAATTTGTTGGAGGCTGCAGGTTTTTCGGTGCAGCCCGGAACGTCGCCATTGTTTGAATGCTTAATTAAACATATCACGCGAAGCAGATGACACAATCCACTTGACTACGATACTGCTCGTCATACAGACAAAGGTCGACCAACCCTATCAAACTTGAGCCATCATCAGTCGGCGTGGTGATGATAGCACCCGTTTGAATGTTGACCGACCTTCAGTCGGCATAAACGATTAGGGTTCGTTGCTCAACCATGCGACCGAATCTCTCTCAATCAGTGGAGGCTGAACTTTAACACTTCACTTGTCACGAATGACACTTACGCGAACTTGTATCCATCAACGCCGATGTTGTCGTTCTCGTACTTCAGGATCTGGGCGTTCTTGGAGTCATCCAGAGGGGCAGCCAGGGCCAGGGCAACGACGGCAACGAGAACAATGACGATTTTCATTTTGATTTTGAGATTTGTTTTATGATTTTCCAGAGAGGATGTCAAATTGATAACTGAATTTTGTGGATGCAAAAAACACACTGACGAGATAATGAGCGTTGGGCCTTTTTATATGGAAGCATTATCTCTGCGCTGTCAAGTAGAAGACGACGCCGGGACGTGTCCCATACGAAGTAGCCGAAGCAGCATCCGTGGACGACAAACCGGTGAAGAATCCTCACTCTCTCCCCCACACCCACCCATTGCTTCCTCCTCCAGCACACACGCCTTCCACCCCCTCCGAATGTGTAGAGTAGGGATAGTATGAGAAAATTTAAATATGAATATTATTGCCTATAATGTTCTCCCGCTGCTGCCACACACGCTGCCAATGGAGCGTCCTTGCGCGCCATCCAACGTTTCGGTGCGAAGCCGAAATCTTACTCGCACACCCATACACCATACGAAATATACACTTCCACATATTGTCTGTTACGCTGCTGCTCAATCGCTCAATCGCTCTCGGTTTTATCGAGAGGAAGAAATTGAAGATGATTCGACAAGACGAAAAAAAAAATGTATCCCAATCAAGTACGGATGCGGGGGGTGGAACCAGTGGCGTTCCGAGGGAGCGATGTTTAAGCAAATATGGCATACAGATTGCCAATTAACTGGGAGCATTTCCAGACCACATAGCAATAAAAAAAAAATGCATTTCAGACTCGACCGTCTCCGATTTGCATGAAACTTTGCATAATTGATTGTTGTGGTTAATTGTTCGGTCAAAAAAATTTTCACATGGCGTTTTCGATATTTTTCAACAAATTATGACTCAACAAAATTCTTTTCCAATCAAAATGACGACTTGGACAAAGTTTTTTGGAAAAATTATTATTTTTCAAGAAAAATATTCACGACAAGAAATGTTAAGTGATTTTAGGTAAAACATAAAAAAAGTGTTTGAAACTCAAAAACATTAAAATGCTCTTCAACTTTTTTTTATTAAATGCTGTGATAAAAAACTAATCAAAATGTTGATTTTTGTGACGTTTAAAAATAATCAAAAAATAGAGAAAGAAACTTTTTTTTCAACAATTTCTTCTGTAATTTTTTGCACAGCCAATATGATTTTAAAATTCTTAAAAAAATTGTTTACTGCGGAAAATTTCGCAAAATTTTTTTTAAACAAAAGTTAACACTTTACGCAAGCTATAAATAGAAAATATTAAAAAATATCACAGAGAGTTTGTAACCAGTTGGTTACAATCCGTGGATTTTCGTCTGTATGAGTTATTGTTGGTTGGGAAAATTCACGTTTTGTTAAACCTAAAACAGTAGACGCACACAAAATCGAGAGGGCTGGTGTCGCTGCTAAAATACTCAAAGGATACTGAAGGGAGGAAAATCGTAGACTTAAGCTAAAAATGGATACGCATATGCTGAAAAGAGGATTGGCAAAATTGATTGAATAGAGCCATCTTAGATATAGAAAATTAGGCAGAAGTAAACAGGCGTCCGTGTGAACAAGACCATAGGTGAAGTGCAGTGAGATAGTTTATACCCCCCTATGTACATCTTGTACATACATCTCGTACCGTACAATAAAACGGTTTCACACGGCTCGGCTCGGAAGTCAAGATGGCTTCCGAACCTAATCGAAATGATCCTCGATCGTCCATCAGGGACGATTTCCTGGAGGCCACGGTCAACGGATGTCGTCAACGACGGAAGACGCCTGCCAGCCAAACGAGCCAGCAACGCCTGCTGAACCGTATGTCGCTGATGAACACCTCCAGATCCGCTGTTTGCAGCCCGCGCCGCAAGTTTCCGGCCACACGGTAGTGCAAGAGCAGCCGTGTGGGCCAACGGTAGCGTCGCGACACCGTAAGAGATCCCGCTGCAGCAGTGAGTACAGTGCAAATTTTAAACCCTCGCATACACGCCACATATATGTGAAAACCCACACCCAAACGCCACAGAAAAGGGCAATAAATGTTTTAGAAAATGTGTGTGTGGGAGTGTTTGGTCATGCCATAGTCACAAGTTGTTGGGACAGGTTCGTGATTTCCGTTAAAATTTTAACCGGTAGAAAATTCAATGTTCACTGTAACTATGTTGAGTGGGTGAGCATCAGCTAGCACTCCAGTTGATTTGTTGCACAAAACTTGGTATGGTTTTCGCCTAACCGCCACCAGGAGTCACTTGTTCTATTCAAGGATGTAACCCGCCAGCCTGTCGAGCTATCCGTTCACAACATGGGTAGTTTAAGCGCCACTCCCAAAGGGAGACCACTCAGCAGATTGCAGGTTTGCCCGGCCTGAGACCTTCCTGAGGATTGGGTCGATGTTTCCCGAATACGGGGAGAATGCGGACTGGCTGCGGGAAAGATTCGCCCGAGAAGATTTCCCGCGAAGTCCCTAAAAATTACAGGTGCACAAGAACAACAATTTGTCCAGAACAGAAGTCACGTGAGCGGGGTTTTCATCACGGGCCTAACCAGAACGATCTATCGTACCAACTGTTAAGATTCGAGAGACGCCAGAGATCAGAATCGGGCTGATCATCCCAGTAAACTACCAAAGCGAACGGAACGACATGGAAACCCCCGAAGACGTTAAAACCTGAGAGCTTTTCCTAGTACGCTATCATAAGAAAACCATGTAATTGGGTGCTCAACGGTATTTATTTAGGGGAACATCACAATTGTTGCCCTTTACCGAAGACTGGCTACTTTGCCAGAATCCAAGCGACAAATACAGTAGCGCTGCGCTTGAGTGAAGGTGGAAGCAACGCATAGAAAAATGAGCAAATACACAAACCTCTCTTCTGAGGATGTAATCTTTGCAATCAAATTCATTCGAAGCATTTACCTTTGAGCGGCAGATGACGCGATTGTACCTGTCTCATAGCGTTCGTATGAGAAAATGGAAGAGTTGCCAGTCTTCTTGATTTGTTGTCTTCGCCTTTACCTAAGCTCATCTCGACCGAGATGGGAAATGACAGGTGTGCAGGAACTCACGATCTCCCAGTGTTGGTGAGTTCTTTGCCGTTAATGTTCACGAAAAGTTCACTATTTTGCCATACATAAATTCAAAACAAAAAATTTTATCTGCGGATTTCGACTGTTTTTTACCTGTTTTATATGACAGAAAGGTGTATGCTGGTTACAAATGTGCATGCATTGGTTGTTCGGTGTTCCGACAGATACCGATGACGGTTTAGTTTAGCCTGCCTGTCCAGGTCACGTAGATTAACGGACATGACCTCTTCCGACCACGTGTGCCTCGGGGATACTCCGCAGTCGATAGGTGGGGTCAAAAGCGGTTTCTCACGAAAGGTGGTGTGTCGGCAAATGGCTTTCGCTGCCACGAACCTCATGAACTTCTGGATCCACACACTTTGCCGCCCACTGCACTGCACTAGCAAGAGTTTGTCTAACTTGTCTCTGTTTAAACACACCACGACACGATAAGAAAACTGACCACTCTTGCCTCTTCCACAAGTCGATTCGAATTCAACGATTCAAGCTAGGACATTCCTCAGTTAGCCGCTAGTACAGAACTTTGCCCCGGAATCGTGGAATTGAGCGAAGTCCAATTTCACGAACGCAAAAAATTCTCGCAATTGTGCATCTGATTGTTAAGGCTTCGCAGCATCTCTTTCAGGGGGAGGGCGCAAAGCCGAACGGAAAAAAGGTCAACGCATTTTAAATGGAAATTTGGCGGGTCGATGTCCGCTTCTCGACGTGGTCGCGTCGGTACGCTCAACAAGCAGTTACATTTTATTTTGCGCTTGCATCTGAACGCAGGGAACTCATTTTGTATGACAAGTGTAACTCAACATGAGTGGATATTCTTTGGCGGTGAACCCATTTATGAATTTAATTGAAAAAACGAAACTTCATGCAATTTGATTAAATGAGTATATTGTATAAATATGAATTCTGAACTAACTTAATAAATAACTATCTATATGGAAAGCGTACTTGTTACAAGGAAACACTTTGCAACTGGAGTTTTTAATTTATTCACCAACTTGGGTTGGGATACAATTATGATCCGGATTTTTTGGTAGTTCAATTTGCAATAATTTCATACTAATAATTCTGTTAACTCTAAATTTAATATAATATATAAATTAAATTTGAGAACTGGTTGAGAACAAACAAGATTTTTTTTTGTTATTTTAGTTTTAATCACTTATTTTTTACCCTTGAAATGTTTTACCTTGTATATTTTCCTGAAATGGATTTTTTCCACATAACTATTTCTCGCACGTCATTTCGTTTGGTAGTGAATTATTTTTCAATCGGAGGTATCTGCAGTTGTTAACAAAGGTTCAATCGTCAATTTAGGGAGCATGCATAGTTTATTTAGTTTATTTATTAGTTTACATCAACAGGCTGAGTGTAGCCCCAATGATGTTTAAGTGAATAACATTGAAATACAAAGTCCAGCTTACTAAAATTCACAATACAATAATATACATGGTCATTCAACGGTTTACTGCGTCAGAGAAAATACGGGAAAAGCGACGGCGTAGCATCTCTCGTGTCAGGTTGAAATCGAACACTGAAGAAACTCGATTGAACACACGTTGAAGGCCGTCTATACCCAAGTAACATTTAAAGTTTTATAAAATACTACAAAGCTACTTTAAAACAACATTCATAAAACCCTGGTCAAGACTGCTTTGCCATTGATGCATGCACCAAAACCTCATTGATGCTAGAATCTGTCTAGTTGGCCCACCCTGGAGAAGGTTCTGAAGGGTATATTTTCGAAGCTCTTCAAGATTGATTTACTGCAAAATGGTTGTACGATAAACGCATTGATATACATTTCAAAACCGTATTTAAGCTACAATAAAAGCTATTTGACAACAATTAAAACCATTATCCGAGCCATTTACTCTAGCTGCTTGCTAATTTCACTAGAAAAACAACAATCAAGATAAAAAAGGATTCATAAATACCATCCGATCTTATCAAAATAATTAAATTAAAAACTGATCGTTTAAAAATCCTGCCGAATTTCCAAAATTATAAAATAGTTCTCATGAAGTGGGCTAGTTATAGGTGCCATATAAAATTTGATGTGAAATGTACGTGAA